CGCCAGGCAGGGAACCTTGGCTTCCTCCATCACTTGAGCAAGCAAGCCTCATGTTCACTTCAGCTGCATGGCTGCCAGCCGCCAGCTTTGTTGACAGTTAATTTGAATATCCTGCTGATTAGCCAATGGGAAGCATAGTGGAAGTATGGTTAATTACCCTTTTTGTCTTATATTAGATAGGATTAGTATCCTTAAATATTTAGATGGGATCTTAAATATAAGTATCACATGTGATAAAACATGCTCTCTAAGAGTCTGTATTTGAGAGACACACTGATGCACAAAGCAGGGATGGAGGACCCAGCAGCAATCTGAAAATGATGGTATGGTATGATTCCAACTGTATGACATTCTGGAAAAGGGAAACCTATAGAGACAGTAAAAGGATCAATGGGTGCCAAGGAGGAATCCATAGGTGGAGCACAGGGGATTTTTTAGGTTAATGAATTATTGTATGTATGTTGAATGAATGATATTATACACTTTTCAACACCCATAGAGCTGAACCATAATGTAAACTATGGACTTTAACTAATAATAATCTTATCTCATAAAGAGGGAATATGCTAATTGACCCTCACACCATCACAAAGATGGTGGCACCCACTGCCATTAAGGAGGGAATATGTTAATTGACTGCCCCACCCTCAAATATGGCAGCAGCCACAGCCAATAAAGAAGGAATATGCTAATTTGCTGCCCCACCTTCAAAGATGGCAGTGCCCACAGACACAAGATGGCAGTGCCCAGTCCCCTCAGCCCCATCGGGTCTACATCCTTGCCATGCCTGCCTCCAGAGTACCCCAGTTCCCTTAGCCCCCCAGCTGTCCAGGGTCAGCCTGAGGTGCAGGAAAGCCTCGGATGGCAGCTGCCCAGCTGCCCAGGGCTGCCCAAGGCTCAGCTAACCAGGGCCCCCCAAGGCTTGCGCTGCTGGTAGTGGCAGCAGCAGAGGTGTGATGGGGGTGTCACTTTCTCCTGATTGCTGGGTTTCCTTCTGCACCTGAGGGCTCCTGGACTGTGAGAGAGGGCAGGCTGGGCTGAGGGACACCCCCTCCAGTGCATGAATTTTCATGCACTGGGCTTCTAGTGTATCAATATTTGTTTACCAATTGTAACTAATGTTCCACTAAAGCAAGTTAATAATAGAGAAAAAACATGTGCAACAGTTGGAGAGGAGGAGGATACATGGAACTCTTTCTGCTCAGTTTTTTTTCTATAAACCTAAAACTGCTCTGAAAAATAGTGTTTATTAGTTAATTTTTAAAAGTGGTATACATGAGGCATTTCTGTTAAACTCAGTAGATAAAAAGTGTTGAAGTTGTCTTTAAGAAACAAATACCACAGACATTCCAATTGAAGAATTTTAGAGTGAAAATACACCCAAAGAAAAGTATCTACTCTAGCCTTAAAGATTTCTAGAAAGAGAAATTCTACCACTTTCCTTTCTAGGATTTAATTACTTTCTGAATCCACCAAACTACTGTATGTTAATACTTATGTGTTCTCTGAAGAGTGATTTGATCAGTGGCTTCCTTAAATTACCTTTCTCTACTAGAGTTTATTTATTAAGTAAATTATTGCTTTGTTTTTATTTTTCTGATCTGTTTAAAGGCCCCCAACATCTTTAATCTTTTGTCACAAATGCAAACTTCAATGAGGTAATAGGCAGCTGATGGACAAAATAGTTCATTTATAGGAAAGCTAGCATTTCAGATTTATATTTCTAGGATAGAAATTTTCAAGTTCTAGAAAGTTATAGAAAAGTTTTTTTAATCTATTAGTCCATTAAAATTCTTATTTTTTCAGTGTTCTTAGAATTTACTTTTTAAAGAAATTCTTTATTGTTTAAAGTATTACATTTAGTATTACATATGTCTGCTTTCCCCCTCCCCATTGATCTCTCCCTGGCCACCTCACTCCTCAGCACATACCCTCACCCCCCCAGTGTCTGTGTCCAATGGTTATACTTATATGCATGCATACAAGTCCTTTGGTTGATCTCTTACCACCTCCCTTCCCCTGCCTTCCCTCTGAAGTTTGACAGTCTATTTGATGCTTCTCTGTATCTGGATCTATTTTTTCTCCAACTGGCTTTATTTCACTTAGCATAATGCTCTCCAGTTCCATCCATGCTGTTGTGAATGGTAAGAGTTCAGAAAGGAGTTTTTTATATTGTCTACTACAACTTTTCTTCACACTGCTTGTATTTAATTTTTTAATGCAGTAAGGGACAAAATTCTTGACTATCACAGAAATAATTTGACTAACCTTGTGTTCCAATCCTAGTTTAATTCACTCCTTTGATATCTCAATTAAACTACTCTAATTTCCCAAATAAAAGATTTTTATTGGATAATATAATTTCAATCCCATTCTCAAGAAGAGTAAAGCCATAAAAGATAGTTACATGAGGAAGTTGATAGTTGCTCAAGGGAAGATATAATAGAGATGCCACATTGTGAATAGTTTATTTCTAGACTAAGTTCCCAGATAAAATAAAATTTTAATGTTTGAACCTTTTTAACTGTCGATGGTCCATGAAATAATAAATACCTCTGTAGGCATGTTAATAAAATGTCCAGCAAAATTATAAAGGACATATTTTCTATGAACATGTGCTCCTTCTGAGTGTAATAAATTATACTCTCATCATAACTATGGGAAGATAAAATAGATTATTCTATCTAATAATAGACAAACATGGTAATTGACAGTACCTTTGTTATGCCTCCCATTGGCTAATCAGCAAGGTATGCAAATTAACTGCCAACAAATATGGCAGTTAATTTGCATACGTAGGTGCCAAGTGGCCGAGTGAAGACTGAAGGCGGCAATGGTTGGAGCGAAGGCCTGGGTCCTGGGTGCCGGAGGAAAACTGGTGCCAGCAGCCAAGAGAAAGGAAGGCCTATTGCACGAATCTTTTTGTGCAACAGGCCTGTAGTATTTTTATATGAAGAATCAGTATTTGGTCCTAACACATTTTAAATCTATTTTGCATTGTCTAATAATCAACATTAAAGGCTCTTTTATTATCTTAGAAAATATTTTTGTATTAACTTGTGTTTCAATTATTTGGAAATTATAAATTTCTGTTCAAAATGATTCATGAGATTGAGCTAAAGATTCAAATATATTTCTTCTGTCCTTGTTGTACTCTAAATTTATACCTAATCTCAATTTGTTGGTGTTAATCATGGATATTTTATTTTGTCTTCTGTACTAGGAGATAGCTGTTAATAAAAGGTATAAGTTTATGGTTCTTTTACCCAGCAAGTTGAAAACTATTGCTTTTTAGTTCTGTCATAACTCTTCTTTTTGACATTTTTTATCCTCTTTTGACAATATGGTAGTACATTATGAGATTGACTAAAATATTTTATGTTATCATCTCTTTCTCTCATATATATATAACAATTTTCATACTAAAATATAGGCTTGGCCCCCATAACTAGATAACTGCATATTAATAATGCCATTCCCATATCATGGCTTCTTATTAATGTAGTTTCAAAATAACATAATATCAGTATAATTCCCTGAAAGACATTTCCTTAATCACCCTAGAGAATGTACAGAGATTAGGTAGTTGAGATAGACTGGGTTCTCTGGGAATCAGTTGCTAAGGTGAAGTTAAGTGTGTGAACGAGTTATTGGTAAGAAATACCTGTGGAAGGAAAGGGGAGGAAGCAACATTGAATAGGGGGAATTCCCAGACCTTGTTTCTGACCATACAACATCTTTGCTAGCCCAACGTGGAGCAAAAGAGTGAATATTGCCCATTAGAGGAGTCCTGAAAAGAAAATGGCTATGCTGTTTCCCACCACCTTCCACAAGAATTGGTTGAAAGCCAGCCTGCTACAGAAAGGGCTTTGCCTTGAAATCTGAGGTGCATCTTTGATGTTAACAGCTAGAGGCAATCATCTAATCACACTCATCACAGTGGGCAGAAAGTTCTCTCTTGAAGGGAGATCTAAATGGCTCATCTCCATGTCTGCACAATCTACTCTTTGGACCCTATAGCTTCCCTTCACAACGCAGGTTCAGGGATCAGGTATTACCAGCATGTTGGGGCCTCTTCTTGAGGAGAAACTTAGCAGAGGGATGTCTTCCTATAGTTCATCTCTAATTTGCAGCCCATATTCCATGAAATGATAAATACCACTGTAGGCATGTTAATAAAATGCCCACAATAAAAAAAATTCACTGTATTCCACTAAAAATTATTGTAAAAAAATTCATTCATTGCTGGTGAGTTACCTGATGATATGACTCAAACTTTCAATCCTTAAAATTCTGTGCTCTTGATAGATTTTTCAGGCCAGAATTACTGTACTTGTTCACAAATAGTTATAATTGTTTACCCAATTCATTCTGGTATTGACTCTAAGAGGTTACTTCAGCTATGCATACACCAACAGGCTGCCATCTTGATGATTGTGAATATAATCTGTGGGTTCCATATTCAAGGGGCTCCCTCTACATGTCCTTCACTGTCAGGTAGTTTCCTTGGTTATTTATGGCCAATTAAACTAGACCAGGGCCCAGCAGCATGCCAGCAGCTATTTTTTGAAACATATGTAATTTTCTGGTAGAGATGACATCGCCTTACTGCAGAAACCCAGGGGCCTGTGAGTTTTTTCACTGTTGCCTGCCATAATACCCACATTTAATATTTTTCACCACTGAAATATCCAACACAATATGATATGCTGAATCCTCTGAGTGACAGAAGTACTTGCATTGTAGCATGGAATCAGATGCCAGCACCTTTCCTGTTCCAGGTCTCATTCAAACTGGCAGCCGCCCATATCACCCTGTGTCTGGGCCAGAATAGCATTCCTATTCTATGTTATCTGTAGAATTGAAGAGGCTTTCATAGCATTGGGCTTCCTTTTTTTGTAGGAAGGGGCAGAGGATATAGCAATTTTGTTTGTTTGTTGTTTTGTTTTGTTGTGTGTTTTTTTTGTTGTTTGTTTTTTGCTTTCAAGGGGAAGTATTGACATTCCCCTGGCCATTGGACCTCTAAATTTTTTTGCTGAACTGTCAGATTTCCAATTCTTCATGTTGTTTACTTCCCACCCTTTGGAGCATTTTCAATTTAATAAGATAACATAGCAACCTTTTGCTCATTCTGCCTAATCAGCATGACCCCTCATTATAATAAATCAACGTGATACTCTGTGAAATGTTCAGAAAGCCAATATCTTTGGGTTTTTATTAAAACAGAGGATAGAATGGTTAGCCATTGGGGAAAAACTAAATAAATATTGTGGTGCATTCTTGTTTAAGTGAGCTGTTTCTGATTTTCTTTCCTGATTTGTATAAACTAAAAAGTCCTAAATCATTGGCTGCATGTTATTATGTACTTGCGGCTATATTAGTCAGCCCTAGGTA